CAGATTGCTCCGCGTACTAAAGTTGTACTACAAAGTCGCCAGTTCTCATCTTCCAGCTCCCCAGATACTCCGGGTACTAAAGTTGTACTACAAAGTCGCCAGTTCTCAGCTTCCAGCTCCCAGATTGCTCCGCGTACTAAAATTGCACTACAAAGTCGCCAGTTCTCAGCTTCCAGCTCCGCAGATTGCTCCGCGTACTAAAGTTGTACTAGAAAGTCGCCAGTTCTCATCTTCCAGCTCCTCAGATACTCCGCGTACTAAAGTTGCACTACAAAGTCGCCAGTTCTCAGCTTCCAGCTCCACAGATGCTGTGCCTGCCACGAAATCTGCACATGGAGGTTCACAAAGTGCTGTGCCTGCCACGAAATCTGTACTTCAAGAAACAAATGAAAACTAATCACAATGGAGGGATGATTCCGACCATGATCCGAGCATGACCGAGACCGTCTCGCACACGTCGTTTCGCAAAGTTCCATTCCTAGGGGCCTACGGGTTAACTAACCCAGTCCCGGCAAAGTGCATGTAGGGATTAAGGACACATGGTGTTGTAGCTTTTGGCAGTCGGCAGCCATTGGTCGTTGACTTTCTGTGATAGTTGTTTTCCCCGAGCCCCGACCTCCCATGAAAATATGAAGCGGCCAGCAGGGCGCTCTTGATCTGGAATTTGGACCAGCGGGAAGAGCGGTCGTTCTGGGAAGTCCGGGCGGTCCGGCAAGCCAGGGAAGTCTGGCTACATTCAGCAGAACGAGGAGACTGCCCGCGTGTTGTTTTTAGGGTATGTCCTCGCGAGCATCCGTGGCACAAGTAAGAAGTTGCATGGGAACAATGCCCCACTCGAAAGGACCAGCAACTCGGAATGTCACAAGGTGGAGTCGTGCGCGACATTCAAGACCATGAAGCGGTGCGAGCGCACCCCTACCCTGGACAACAACACGCTGGAGTTACATTGTTTGTGCACTGGCGTTGAGGCAGTTGTTCAGTTTCTTTATGCAGTGCTGCTGCGCACGGTCTTCAGTGGCTTTGGCCTCCTGTCGCTCTTCCTGTCTGAATACGAGCGGCTTGCCGGGCGGACTTTCCGCGATGCTATCCTTCAGAAGCGTGCAAGTGTGGAGATCATTGCTGAAATTGTGGGCTGAAATTGTGGGCAAGTCCAAGCTAGGCACTGCCACACCAGAGGCGCGTGTCGCCCAACTAGAGCTAACTGGAGCTAGAGCTATGGAAACTAGAGCTAACTGGAGCTAGAGCTATTGAAACTAGAGCTACCTGGAGCTAGAGCTCTTGAAACTAGACCTAACTGGAGCTAGAGCTCTTGCAACTAGAACTAACTGGAGCTGGAGCTCTTGGATGATGAGTGGTGTATGATGAGTGGCATCGGCTACGGGCAGCTCTGACGGCCAGAAAGCAGTTCGCATGGGCTTGAGGTCCTTGTTCAGCGCCTAACCCTATGGTGCTGATGTCACTCTTTTGTTTGCTCTCAAACACAAGCCAAACGTGCAGTTGTGTCTTTGGCACCGGCGCAAGTGTGGGACAAGGGAGCAACCTACGGCGCGAAGCCGGCGCCAACAGCCATAACGAAGGCAACGTGACAGTGCTTCTTCTTGTTCTTGTAACACTTGACATCGTGTCATGGCTCAAGTTACACTTTCACCGAACCGCTGTTCCGATGCCTTTACTAAGCGCGGGCGTAAGCCAGGAAGTGACCGCTCAAAATTGCAGAGGAGTGCCGCTCGCAAAGTGTATTTGCTGTCATGCGGTTCTTTGATGAAAGCTCTGCAGACTCGAACCGCTTTAGCGTATCTCTATGAGCCGATGTTGAAGGCAAGTGAACCTTTGGCGCCTCTGTTGCATGTTTAGTTTTATTTTCATTCAGGCTGTCACATGCATACCCTCCCATACCTCTTGTGCAGAGGACTACATGCCCAGGGCATGCCGTCGCATGCATGGCCTCCAAAAAGCCCTTGCGCAAGACATTTGTCAAGTAATAATACTTGTAGCTTGCGGATGATGAGTGGTGTATGATGAGTGGTGGATTGAACAGCTGTTGAATGTCCATAACACGGAAGTTTTGCACACTAAACTTCCTTTGACGCGTACTAAAGTTGAACTACAAAGTCGCCAGTTCTCATCTTCCAGCTCCGCAGATACTCCGCGTACTAAAGTTGTACTACAAAGTCGCCAGTTCTCAGCTTCCAGCTCCACAGATGCTGTGCCTGCCAAATCTGCACCTCGAGGTGCACAAAGTGCTGCGCTGGCCCCGAAATCTGCGCCTCAAGGTTCCCAAAGTGCTGCACCTGCCACGAATTCTGCACGTGGCATGGAGGTTCACAAAGCGCTGCGCCTGCGACGAACTCTGCACCTGGAGGTTCACAAAGTGCTGTGCCTGCCACGAACTCTGCACATGGAG